ACCGATATTGTCAAACTCACCAACTTAGCCTCAGACCTCAGAGGCAACCGCCCTGATCCTTTCTCCTCTTTTTTCCAAGGCTCACTTCTCACCTGGGTATGGCCAGTATTAGGACCCCTCGCTGTTATATTTATAGCCTGTCTTTTTCTGCCCTGCATCATAAAATTCATTCAAACTCAACTCGGAAGGATTTCTAACCAAACTTTTAACCAGCTTTTACTTAGGAACTACCAGCTCCTGGCCACCGAGGATCCTGCCCGCTCTTCACCAGATCAGCTAACCCGCTGTTAAAATGGACCTGCCTCATCGATGGTCCTTGTTCCTGGAAGCTTTGGCCGCAGACACCTGGATGCTCTCCCCTATAGCCTCCTACACACACTGGACTCAACAAATCACCGACCTGTGGCTTCAGGGAACCTTTCTAGAGTTCTCCCCCTTCGAAATTATCTTATTCTCTACCCTCTTTTGAGTCCTGTTACAAAATCCCCAATCTTCCCCCAATTCCTCTTCCCCTACTATGCCCCCGTCCAGCAGGAAGTAGCTCGAAGATCACGGCGACCCATTCCCCACAATAGAGGAAAAAGGGAGGAATGTAGGGACCCCATGGGCGTCTGAACAGGGACACACCCTGGCAATATGGCGCCCTTCCTGGTTCTTCTCCACAGTAGACAAGCCTGCTGGCGCCAACACCCAAGCCCACCCGTGCCAAACCTCAGCCAGTCACAGGTCAAGGCTCACCTCCTGCCCAGCCCCGTCCAATCAGTTACTGCCCTGTCCACTCTCTCTCCTGCCCCGGAGCACAGCACCCTATAAATGTACGTGCAGTCCTTGAATAAAGCGGAACTTCTCTGGCGAACTGTTAGCCCAGGTCTCGCGTGATTCCTTCGTCCGTGCGTCCCCTTCACATTCCCTTTCAAGTTGTATAAAGTGACATATAAAAGAAAAGAGGAATTCCCTTTGTATATAACTATTATTTCAGTTTCATTAAAGCTGTATTTTCCAAGGTAGGATGTTTAAAGAGACTTCGAACAAATAATTCATTACTGCTTCCATACCATCTGATCTTTGAGACTGTTTAGCATTCAACTACTATCACTCTACTTACTAAGATAGAATATATTTTAAGCTTTATGATACCAAAAAGTAGATTTAAAAAGAGAGAAAGAAAAAGAGATTTAAGATGTGAAAAAAGCATTACCTTTGGCTGGCCAGTTAGGACAGCTGATTAGATAACACCAAGGTCAAGGGTTTGATCCCTGTACCAGCTAGCCAAAAAAAAAAAAAAAAAAAAAAAAAGTCTATGGAAACTTCTCAGATATATTTCCAAGGAATGTTAGTACATGAATATAAATACAAGCCAATAAAAAAAAGCCAGGACAAGGTTTCTTTTTTTCATTTCAAACCAAAATGTTTTCTTAGAGCAGACAGTGGAAGTTAAATTTCCTTGGTACCAATTTAGAAAGACAATTTTTTGGCCACTTATATGTTAGTGCAATTATGATATTTTTAGACCTTAGTTATATAATTAATGTCTATTATATGCCTAGAATATAAGAGACACTCAATACTCAGTACACATTTGCTGAATGAAACTTCAAATCTTGAGAAACAGGCATGGGAGCATCCATAAACACGACAGATATGATCCTACTCTTGGGGCTTCCAGTCCAGAAAACAAATACCTTTAAGTGAAATAATTTATATTTATAAATGTGTATATACGAGTTCTTCTGTAACTTACAGTCACAGTATAAAGCTGACACATCTGATAAATAAAATGAAGCTGAATACACCCAGTAGAATTTCACTTTTTAAAAAGTTAACCTTAGTTATACTGCCTCTTGAGGGGAACTGAATTCACTTAAGCCAACATGTGCTATGCTCTGGGGCCGGGGAGACAGACAAAAAAACCTCACAACTCCATAAGCCAAAACATCAAGTAACTCACAGTATGTTAGGGAAGATAAATATGCAAATACTATATAGTGTGATAAATGCAATAAACACACAGAAGCAGCTCAAAAGAAAGTGATTAATTTTTTCAAGGGTGAGGCCCAGATAAAAGTTTCACAGAGATTTCTGAGTTGTAGATTTTAAGGTAGAAGATCAAGTGGGACAAGAACACATTCCAAGCATAGTGTAAAAAGGAAGGAAATAATATGGAGATTTCTCAAGGGTAAAGTGCAAGTAAGGAATCAACAGCAGAGGAGGCTAGAGAGACAGGAGAAACACAATTGCAAAGTCCTGTGGACAGGATGCTAACATACCTGAACTTCTTCCTCCAGCAAGAGAAAGTTACCTAAACGTTTTTACCAAGGAAGTGATTTGGTAGTAGGAAGGATGAAATAATTTTTATTTGATTGTTATCTGCTTTCTCAAAGATGGAAGCAAGGAAATCATCTGAGTACAGTGACAAGGAAGGAATCCTCAAGGTTAAGGCAAGAGAAGATGTAAAATAGCTGTTTTGGTGAAGAGACTTATTGACTATAGAAGTGTATTAACAGTGTCTGGCAGCACTGAGTACTCATTAAAGTTATGTGATCATAACTTCAAAGTTTAATCAGAATGGTTCTGTCTGATATTCTCCAATAAGGTTTAGGTGCTTGACTACAGGTTGGGAGATAGATGGGTTCAACTGGGTTGGGCGTTTTGGTGAGCAAGTACTATGCAAAAAGCACAGGGCAGGGAGTTAAAGGTATTTCCAAGCAAATGTCCATAGGACCAGAAAAACTAATCTAACTTGAGGAAAGAAAGAAGTAAAAGCTGTGTGAAAAGTTATAGTGACGGGCCGGCCCGGTGGCGCACTGCTATAGTGCACCGCTTGGGAAGCGCGGCGGCACTCCCACCGAGGGTTCGGATCCCGCATACAGACTGGTTCCCGCTCACTGGCTGAGCGAGGCGCGGGAGCGACACAGAGGGTTGCGATCCCATTGCCGGTCCCGGTCCGGTACAGGGGCGACACTGAGGGTTGCGATCCGTTGCCGGAAACGGAAAAAGACAAAAAGGAAAAAAAAAAAAAAAGTTATAGTGAAAAAGCGCTAGGGTCAGGAAACAAGCTCTCAATGGGTTAGAGGACAGTTAAGAGTGTGGGTATTTAAGTTAGCAAGCTAAACTCACAGGAAGCAGTGGTCAGGGAGTGAGAGACTTTAGAGGCCTAGATTTTTGAGATAATGAAAAGACTGTTGCTTTGAGAAGGACAAGGTTGACAAGGACAAGAAAATGAGCAACAGGTTGGATTTTCAAAAAGTAACCTTTCTGTGGAGAAGAAAATGAGCCAGATGCCAATATTATCAGGAAGGAGTTGTGATGGAAGTCAATGCACCATGGTGACCAGGGGGCACTAGTGGCAACTAAAAGTCTCACAACTTGGACTTTCAAGGTGCTGAGGTTTTTGAAGGAAGAAGAAGGGGAATGGTTTGGAAGCAGCAGTAAGAAACAAAGAAACCTCTGCCCAACATCCTCCAGGTCTTGAAGACTGTGAAGATGTGGGAATGTGGGTGAACACCCTCCACTACAGAAGGCAGCAGGGGAAGCAGTGTCTTTAGAATCAAGTTTTACTTACAATAAGAAGGTGAAAAGTTAAGAGGGGATGTCACTGAAGGGATAATCAATATGTCAACAGTGCCATTCTATCTCCCATAGCATCTGGGAAATGTTGGTATGAATTATCAATTAATATTTACTCAGCATCAACAGGCCATAATGCTACACAGTACTAGAGCAGGCTTTCAGTTATTTTGTTTTCTCATTTCAATCACCACTGGTAGTGAGTTGGAGAAACACTAAAAACGATGTTTTAAATTTCAAAAGAAAAGGACATAATTTTACAGGAAAATTTAAAGGAAACTTTAAGTTCAATTTAGAAGCTTCATTGAGCCTTTTCTTGAGGAAGTTAAGACCACATTTTAGAGCACTAAATTCTATAGTTGTGGTTTCTTCCTCTCACATGTATCTCACATTTCTCTGAACTCCTAGAGCACTGAAAAGGCTTTGTGCGACTCATGTGCCATAACAAAATACCACCTTATATGCAGGGGTTTTACTTTTTCATGTTAGTTTCCACTCTCTGACTATATGTATCATATAATTCTATGGCAGAGACAAACTGTCTACAGTAACAAAGTGTTATTTGTCACTCAACTGGGGTTTTTCAAAATACTTTGAAATTATTTTAACTATTCCTAGAGAGAAACCTTTACATGAGATACAAAGAAAGCAAAGTTCTTTCTTAAGCCAAAAGAATGTGCTGAAACAAAAAAATAATAAACAAATCCTGCATTTTACCTCGATAGTAGGCCTTTGTTATCGCATCAAACTCCTCTTGACCTGCAGTGTCCCATAACATTAGTCTGACATCTTCATCATTAACTCTGAAACAAGAGATGAATTTATTTCATATGTAAAGGGAAATATTTTTGGTAATATACCTTTATATATATTTTTATTTTTCAGATCTGGAGGTATTAAAACTATACTGCTGGTTTCACTCTGAAAAGGTCCGAGTAAAGGGTGAAAGACATTCCCCCAAATTTATACCTTTACACATGATCTGGATTTACCTGCCTTCTTCCTTTTTTTTGACAACAGTCACAGACAGTGGTAGCTCTAAGACTATGAGTATAGGGAAAGGAGAATTCCTTTAGGTCAGTGCTTATTCTTCTACCCTACACCATTTTAATGGATTCTGGTGCCCTACTGATAGAATAAGGATAAGAAACGAAAGAAGCAGCTTACCTGCTTGGCTGCCCTTTAGCTCAAAATTTATTTTATTTTGTCACATAGCCTATTCTAGTTATTCACAGTAGTTATGTTCTATAACATATGGCACTGTGAACACTGAATTAGCACATACTGAACCAGTGCTTCTAGGGTTAAGCAGTCCTGAGAATGCCTGGTTACATTTTTGTCAACTGATCAATGTATAACCTTATTTTACAGACATTTCTATTTAAAGACACCTTATTAATATATATTGTTAATTCATTAACACTGAAATCATAATCTCACTGAACTCATAACCAACAGCACTACAGACAAACAACACCATATCTGGTGTTTGAAAAAGCTTACCAAACATGTGTTTTTTCTCCAAAAGGCACATCACAGTCTTCTTGTGCTTAGGAACAACTAGACAGCACTTCAAGCATTATACTTGGGGTACATTTTAAACAGCAAAATCACCAACGAAAAGTACAAGAGGTGAAAAATGTGGTACTAAACAGAACATGAAAAGGACACATTTACTGTATGAGGGACGAAACAAGAAGGAAGAATATTGCCCTATTTGATCTCAGCTGGGAAACTGCATATTTGGCAACTCAAATTTTTCCTGCTCTGGGCATATCTACAGATGACCACAAAGACACTAAGACTACTGATTCTGAGATACAAATAAATTTTAGCAAGAAAGTGAATCTGCAAATACAGAATCCATGAACAATGAGGATCAACTATATATCTAATACATTAATTTGGTTTCAGGCAATAAGTATAAAAAATAAACATCATCAAAACTTAAAATGAGTTCTCTTAAAGTATGTTCTGAGAAAGGAAGCAAATATGGAAGTATTTTTAAAAAGATAGTAACACAATACAGAATAGCAATTAAACAACTGGGCTGGCCAGTTAACTCAGTTGGTTACAGTACAGTGTTATAATACTAAGGTCAAAGGTTCAGAACCCTGTAACAGCCAGCTGACAAAAGAAAAAAAGAAAATTAATCTTTAAAATGATGAATATAATTATCTTCGATATTAATGTCTGGGCCAGTAAGTCAGACTTGTTTAATGTTGCTCATTTTTGTAATACATTTTAGTTTGTCTCCTGCAATTAAAAATATCCTTAAAAGTTCTCAGGACTAATAGCAAAACTTTCTGATGTGTTTTGCATTCCAACTGGATTTTCTGAAGTAGGATTTCATTTTCACAGGTGTAGTTTATCCATCCAAACCTGTTTTCTCTTATTTCTTTAGAATAAAAGCAAATTATTTTTATTTTTTACTGAAACGTAATTGATTGTACATATCTGTTGGGTACAGTTTTAACTATCAATACCTGTGTAAAAGCAAATTATCAATTCTCTAACTTCTATACAGTCTTGCCCAGTTTAAAAAAATGTCATTCTAAACAAAAATATCCCACAATATAAGAGATGAAAATTTTACTCTGAAGGAATAGTAACTTTCCTTTCAAATAAAAGAGCAGATGGAAATCTCATTAGTCAAGCATCAGTTTGTGTTTAAGAAGTGCCCTAGGTGTCATGAACAAATATAAAACAGATATAAGGTAGGAAAAAAGGGGAGAAAGGCAATAGAGGAAAAAAGAAAAAAAATGAGAGAAGAAAAAAAAGATGAAAGAAAAAAAGACAGAAGGATAATGACACATATGGTAACAAGCATTGAAAACCACCATCAACTGTTGCCTGAGCCACTGCGACAGCTGTCTAACCTTGGCCTGTTCTGTAACTAATGAAAGTCTTGGACATAGTTCACAAATCAAAAGCAAAGGGATAAAATGACCAAGTACATACTGAATTTGTCGCTCCAAAAAATCAACTCCAATGGTTTTCTTGTAGTCTTTTGTAAAGATGCCTTTGCAGTATCGCTGAATCATACTTGATTTTCCAACTGCTCCATTCCCTACAACCACCATCTTGATGGCCACTTCCATGTCTTCCTCCAACATTTTTGGAGGTGAAATAGTTTCTGTACCAACTCTAATCCCAGGTGATCAGATCTTCTCTCTCAAATCTGTGGTTTAAAATAAAATTATTTTTTCATGACACAAAAATTATACAAAATAAACTATAATTATTTTATCAAGAAACAGCCATACTGCCTTGCAAGAATTTATTTCCATGACTAAGCCCCTTTTCCCACTCCTTTTAGAGAATATAAATTCTTTGAAAGGTGAAACAGTAACATCATTCATTTTTGGATCCTTATCAATAGCGCAATGCGTGACATTCATGTTTCAATAAATGCCTAGATATACATAGTTCTCTTTCATAGCAACAAAGAGTATGGGCATTGGAGTTGAGGCCTGATTTAACGCTGCCTTAACTAATTCTGTCTCTAAGTTCTTACTTATCCTCTTTAAGCTTCAGTTTCCTGGCAATAATATCTACCTCGCAGGGCTGTTGACCAATGATAGATATAAAGCACTCAGCATAATGAAAGTTAAGTATTCACAAATTAATAGTTTCATTTAACATAATAGATCCCCCATATTTTACCACCAAATAGGTCACAAATACAAAATCTAAGGAAACTGCTTTTCAACCTTACAGGTAACAATTAATGTCCCTAGAAAAGCACCCAAAAGAAAGGTTTTGTAAAATAATGTATAACCATGTGTCAGCACTGGGCTCTCAGTTACACTGCTTTGTGTGTTCAGGTTACAATGAATCCTGTACAAATAATCTTCTAACCACACATTCCTTCTTTAGTTTCAGACAGGTTATAGTTACTCATATAATGATAGTAACAGAATGTACACTGTTTGTATTCTAGACTGAAAAGAACAGAAAGTAAATTTCTTCATATTTCTTCTTAAAATTACTAGTTAGGCTCCTGCCCTTTAGCTATTATATTCCACCCACCTTAAATGAAAATCCACCTCTACAACCACTACACAAAGCCAGTCTGAAATATGAAAAACACTCCTTCATTTATCCCTAATAGAATCTCAACAATTGTCCCTGGAACTTCACAAACTTGCATGATCATAAGAATCATCTAGGAGCACTTGCTAACGTATAGGTGCTGGGTCTCCATCTCAGACATAATTAATCAGAAATCTCGAGGAGTGGCCTTGGAATCTGGTTTTTAAAACACACACAGGAGCACTTGCTAACGTATAGGTGCTGGGTCTCCATCTCAGACATAATTAATCAGAAATCTTGAGGAGTGGCCTTGGAATCTGGTTTTTAAAACACACACAGATGGGCCGGCCCGGTGGCGCACTGCGTAAGTGCGCCGCTTGGGAAGTGCGGCGGCGCTCCCGCCCGAGGGTTTGGATCCCACATACAGACCGGTTCCTGCTCACTGGCTGAGCCAGGTGCGGGAGCAACGCCGAGGGTTGCAATCCCATTGCCGGTCCCTGGTCCGGTACGGGGGTAACACTGAGGGTTGCGATCCGTTGCCGGACACAGAAAAAGACAAAAACAAAAAAAAAAAAAAAAAAACACACACAGAAATGGCGCTGCTCAGCCCTCCCTTCAAGAGAGGTGCTAGTTGGCAGTCTCCAGCGGCCAAACCTTCAGGACATGTTGCACTGCCCACTCCTATTGAGGCCACACTCACCCAAGGTGAAGACTGAACAGGCAGGGTTACTAAAGTCAGGCCAATTCTGCCCAACAAGGATTCCTCTTTCCTCTGAGGCTCCCCATCAAACTGGCCAAGATATTCTTAAAGCTCTTTCCACCCAATCTGCCTTTCTCCTTTCACAGGTGTCAAAATGGCACAGCAGTCTGAAGGCTTTCCTCTTTACCCTTCGCAGGCACTTCCCCCACTAAATGTCTTGCACATAAAATTCTACCTTGACATTTGCTTCCTGGAGGACCCAGATGGGCATACACTCAAAGTGATTTTATTTATGTATTCATTTATTTTTTATTCTTTTTTGTTGTTGTTGTTGGAACATAGTTGATTCTACATATCTGTGGGGCACAGCACTGAATATCTATACCTGTGTGCAATATGTGATGTTCCAATCAGGATAATTAGTATATTCAACATTATACAATGTAACCAATTTTTGTGGCCCTTTACCCACCCTCCCCTGCTCCCCCTTTCCCACCTCAGATAACCTCGGTTCTGTTCTGTTCCTTTGAAAGTTCCTTTCCTTCCCTTCCTAGCTCCCCCTTATAAGTGAGGACATGTGGTATTTCTCTTGCTGTGCCTGGCTTATTTCACTTAACAATTTTCCCTAAGTTCATCCATGTTGCTGCAAATGGCAGTATTTCATTCTTTTTTATGGCAGAGTAGCATTGCATTGTGTACATATACCACATTTTCCTTATCCAGTCATCCATCAGTGGACATTTAGGTTGGTTCCAACTCTTGACTATTGTAAATAGAGCTGCAAGAAACATGGGAGTGCAGGTACTCCTTCGACATGATGATTTCCATTCCTTTGGGTATATACTCAGCAGTGGAATTGCTGGATCCTATGGTAGTTCTATCTCTAGTTGTTTTGAGGAAACTCCACACTGTTTTCCATAATGGCTGCACTAATTTACACTCTTACCAACAATGCAGAAAGGTTCCACAAATTGGAAGCCTTGCAACTATATAGGTGGGTATATATACCAACCCTCCCTTTCCTTTATTTTATAGCTGTTACACATATTACATTTACATATACACACACACACACACATATATATATAAACATATATATACATGTACCCAACTGATTTTATAACCAGGTAAATGCTAGAACCATTACCCTAGGTTACTTTAGGCTAGTGGTCTCAACCTTGGCTACACACTGGAATCATCTACAGAACTTTAAAAAACACTGGTGCCTGAATTCTGTCCTCTGAGTATATGATTTAAATGGTCTAGGGTACAGCCTGAACATCAAGTACCACCACCCTACTACCCTACACAAAGGTTTCGTCTTTAGGACACTTAGAGTCAAATCTAAAATACTCTCCATGATCTGACCCTTGTTCATCCAGGTGTATCTCACACTAGTTCAGTTCTTAGAAAGCAACTTCCTCTTCCTTCTCTCTACCTAAACAATTCTTTACCCCAGAAGATTGTGAAATTCAAAAAAAGCAACAACAAAAAACTTATTCTATTTTACACTTTCAAAAATACACACTTCAAGTACAGACATCTTTTAGGGCAGCAAAATTACTCTGTATGTAGTGTATCTGTATAGATACACTATAATGATGGGTACATGTCATTTTACATATGTCCAAACCCACAGGATATACAATACTCAGAATAAACTTTAATGTAAACTATGAGCTTGGAGTGATTGTGATATGTCAATGTAGGTTCATCAGTTGTAGTACAAGGACCCTTCTGATGAAGGGAGAATGAGGGAGAGTAGGCACGTGTTGGAGCATGGGGTATATGGGAAATCTCTGTACCTTCCTCTTAATTTTGCTGAGAACCTAAAACTGGACTAAAAATAAAGTAGTTAATAAAAAAAATTAAAAATAAAAACATATACTTCAGAGACTTTTGCTTCTGGGAAGATGGAGTAGACATATTTTTCCCTATTCCTTCCTCTAAGTATAACTAAAAATTGTGGACTTATATATAAAATAAACATTAGACTCTGAAAAGTAGAAAGAAGGAAGACTGGATAAAGAACATAGGACACAAGGAAAAACATGGTATTGAGCTTTCCTTGAGTTCTTTTTACCTCATATATCCCAGACTGGATTACGGAGAAGCCAGTAACCAGGGAATACCAACAAAAAAACACCAAAACAAAGGCCTACTCTCTTGAGCCAAAGGCTGAGGAAAGGGAAAGCCTACCAAGTAGCAAGGCAGAAAACACATCCTTGTGAGGGCCATAATGATGCACCCCATCTTCCTCTAAGGAGTAGTGTTAGAGAAAACCCACTGGGAAGCCAGGACTTTTATCCCCATTGGGAGGTAATGAAGGTACCCCACTAACACCACCACATTATTACTCATAATCATATAGGTAGACTGGACTTCCACCCCGTCCGACAGTTCAGAGTCATCTTCCCCCCAACTTTACCTCCCCTTCCTTGCTAAGGCAGTGTTAGAGAAAGCCTATTAGAAAACCAGAACTTTCATCATCTCTCAGTGGCAATAAGGCCATCCTCCCATCCCTGCAGCCTTGGTGGGGACCACAGGAGGAACAGTAACAAGATGCTGTTCCTCCTCCCAGCCAGAGTGGTAGTAGCAGGGGCCTAGTGGACCCATCATGTCCAGTAGTAAAAAGAGCCCCTTCTACTCTCTGTTTCAATGGAGGATAAGTTGGAAACCTGGAGTTTTAGCCCCTCCCGGTAGCAAGGACATAGCCACCCTGCTTCTGTTTGGAGCACTGTCAGAGGAAGCAAGGCTCAGAAAGAAAGTTTAAATGAGATCCAGAGAACATAACATAATACCCCCAAATGTCCTGATTTCCAGCAAAAATCATTCAGCACATCAAGAACCAGGAAGATCTTAACCTGAATGTAAGACAATCAACAGATACCAGCAGGGAGATGACAGACATTAGAATTACCTAACAAGTATTTTAAAAAATAAAAACAGTTAGCTGGCAGTAAATGAGCAATTATGGACACACTTGAAACAAATGCAAAAAATAAAGTCTCATCAAAGAAAGAGAAAATATAAAAACAGAACAAAATGGAAAGTTTAGAACTGAACATTATAATAACAAAAATAAAAAACTCAATGGATAGGCTCAACAGCAGAACAGAGGGTACAGAGGGAAGAATTAGTACACTTGAACACAGAATAATATACACTTCTCAACCTGAACAACAAAATGCAAACAGACTGGGCAAAAAAGACAGAGCCTCGGGGACCTGTGGAACTAAACAAAAAAAATCTAATATTTATGTCCTCAGAGTTCCAGAAGGAGAGGAGAAAAAGGATGGGGCTGAAAAAGCATTTCAAAAAAGAATGGCTAAAAATGTCCCAAATTTGGGAAAAACGTAAAGCCACAGATTCAAGAAGCTGAGTGAATCTCAAACAGGACAAACCTAATAAAATCCAGATCAAGGCCCATTATAATCAAACTTCTT